TGTTGTTAAGTGCTGTGGACTTGGTTCCAACTCATAGCAAACCTGTATAGGGTTTCCAAGGAGCAGCAGGTGAGCATTGACCCACAGCCACGCCAGGACTCCGGAGTCTTGATTAGGAGACAGGAGAAGAACATTGCAAGGAGTGGGAAGAAGTGCAGAGGCCTTGAGGTGGGAAACGGTATATTCAAGGAATGTAAAGAAAGACAGTGTGACTGATGCCTGGTAAGCTGAAGAGAAAATATTTTGAGATGAGTTATTTCTTAAATTAAAAATCTAAGTTCCCAAGTTCCCTCACAGCATTCCCTAGTATCACATAGTGTCTCAGAAGTACCTTTGTTTTTTGTTTTTTTGTTTTCTAGAAGTACCTTTGTGGTTTGTTTGTTTCTTAAAAGTTTTTATTGTGAATTATGTGATAGTTTACATGGGAGAACATTAACTTTACATTCATCCAATCGTTTATCATTTTATTGCCATGATTACAATCCCCTCCACGCATCATCAAACAACCAAAGGGTACAACTACCTTTGTTTTTATTGGTAATTTTGTGAACTCAGCTTTCATGGATGGCAACAGTTTGCTCAAGTATACACAAAGTATGAATAACAACAAAACCCATTGCCATCAATTTAATTCCATTCTGACTCATAGCAACCTTACAGAATCAGAGTAGAACTGCCCAATAGGGTCTCCAAGGCTGTAAATCTTTACCAAAGCAGATTGCTACTGCTTTCTCCATTGGAGTGGTTGGTGGATTGGAACTGCTGTCTGGAAGAGATCCATATATGTGTCCATTCCAGAGAGAGGCAGCTGACCCCAATGGAATGTGGAAATCACCAGACTATATCATTAATATCACAGGCAAGTAAAATTTTGCTAAAGATAATTCAACAATAGCTACAGGTTCAAGCTGGAGTCATACCAGGATGTGGAACAAGGAATATTATTGCTGACATCATAGATCTTGACTGAAAGCAGAGAATACCAGAAAGATGTTTACCTCTGCTTTATTGACTATGCAAAGGCTTTAGGTTGTGTGGATCATTACAAGCTGTGGACAACATTGTGGAGAATGAATATTCTGGAACACTTAATTGTGTTCCTGAGGCAGTTGCTTGAACAGTACAAGGGAACACCGAATGGTTTAAAATTAAGAAATGTGTGCACAGTACAATTCTTTCACTGTACTTATTCAGTCTGTATGCTGAATGTATAATTCGAAAACATGGATTATATGAAGAAGAACGTGACATCAAGATTGGAGGAAGACTCATTAACAACCTGCAATATGCAGATGATACAATCTTGCTTTCTGAAAGTGTTGTTGTTGTTAGGTGCCATCAACTCGGTACCAACTCATAGTGACCTTATGCACAACAGAACGAAACACTGCCCGATCCTGGGCCAACCTCCCTACTGTTGTCCATCGATGCTGTCACCTGGCCAATACATCTCGATGGGGGTCTTCCTCTTTTTCTCTGACCCTCCACCTTACCAAACATGATATCCTTTTTTAGCGACTGGTCCCTCCTGACAATATGTCCGAAGAATGAGAGAGGAAGTTTGGCCATCTTGGCCTTCAAGGAGCACTCTGGCTGCACTTCTTCCAAAACGGATCTATTGGTTCTTTTGGCAGCCCATGGCACTTTCCGTATTCTCCTCCAACACCATAACTCAAAAGCATCAATTCCTCTATGTCTTCCTTATTCACTGTTCAGCTTTCGCATGCATATGAGGTTACTGAAAATACCATGGCTTGGGTCAGGTGCACCTTAGTCCTCAAGCTGACATCTTTGCTCTTCAATGCTGAAAGTGTAGACAAATTAAAATACTTACTGATGAGGATGAAAGATCACAGGCTTCGGTATGAGTTGTAACTCAATGTAAAGAAAACAAAAAATCCTCACCACTGGGCCAATAAATAACATCCATATAAATGGAGAAAAAAATGAAGTTGTCAAGGACTTCATTTTGCTCAGACCTTCCATCAACACTCATGCAAGCAACAGTCAAGAAATCAAACAATGTATTGCATTAAGCAAATCTGTTGTATAAGACCTCTTTAAAGTGTTCAAGAGCACCTTATTTTCCCTACCTCCCAGAACCAGTTTTTTTGGTGTGTTTGTATCATTGGTTTTCTTTATTGTTTTCCTGTTTTCTAGTTCATTGATTTCTGCCTTTTCTTTAATGTTGTGAGGCAGTAACGTAAGACACAGATTTGAGCAAATAATGCACTTTTAATAAAAGGATCCATACTTAAACATTTTTCTGGCTCTCTGATTTGTTTCTGGTTTGTTTTTTGCTATTCAGTTTTATTTCTCTTGCTTTATAATACGAACTAACCGCATGCTTTTAGTAAGTAGAAGCTACTTGGATTGGAAAGGAACAGTCTCCTCCTATATTAGCTACTTCTGGCCATGGAATTGCCTACAGCTGATTTTGATAAACGTCCCTTTCAGATTGCAAGTTTTCTTTGTGGTGGGAAGAGAGGCAGGTTGGGTAAAAGTAATCCTAATAGGACAATGGTGGAGGTTCCTAAAGTCTTTTGATTAGAGTTGAAGACATTTTTCTCTTGCTTAACAAGATTTTTCAATCATCCTGATCTATTTTTTGTCCATTCACACATATACCTCACCTATAGGTTTAACAGGAAAATAGTGCCATTATGAGATCCCACTGAGTTATTCTTGGTAGAGACATAAGTGTAGGCATCGAGACTCTTCATTTTACAATAAGATACAACTCTTACTCCAAAATTAGAGTATCTTTCTGTGGATTTCAAAAAAAAAAATGTAATGAACTTTCTTTTTTGTAGAGTAGTCTTATTGATGCAATGGTTAAGTGCCTGGCTGCTAACCAAAAGATTGGTTCTTCTGCTTATTCACAGCCAAGAAAACCCTATGGGGAAGTTGTTTGGAGTTGCTATGAGTCAAATTGACTTGATAGCACCTAACAAAAAAAATTACCATTTTTTAAGAGTAGGATTTAAAAACAACTTGTTGATCTAGATTATAGTTAGTGTAAGAGCCCTGGTAGCACAAGGGTGAAGCACTTAACTGCCAACTGAAACTTGGTGACTCAAAGCTACCCAGTGGCTCTGTGAGAGAAAGACTGGTGATCAGTTTCCAAAAACATTGTAACCTAAAAACCCTACTGGGCAGTTCTCTTTGGTCATGTGGAGTTAGGAAGTGAAATCAACTCAACTACACATAGAAGCTCTGGTAGCGTAGTGGTTACGAATTGGGCTGCCAACCTCAGAATCAGCAGTTCGAAACTACCAGCTGTTCTGCAGGAAAAAAATGGGGCTTTAGTCACTATTACATACCTAGCACTAGCATAGTGATTGGCCTATGTTGTTGTTAAGTGCCATCGAGTCGGTTCCGACTCATAGAGACCGTGTATAAGATTTCCAAGGAGAGGCTGGTGAATTTGAATTGCCGACCATGAAGTTCAAACCGACTACGGTGCAGCGCATTAACCCACAGTGCCACACCAGAACTCCATCATTATAGAGTAATAATGATCAATTCCTTATCTGATTTTCCTACTTTTGTTAAATATGGGTTATGTAACAGTCCCAAAGATCTACCAAGTTTGTATTCATATCATACTCATATTCACATATCTGTCTGAAACAAGATAAGGATTACCTCCCGAAATTATGATTCAATTGCTTGTGGGTTCATTAGAGTGACTGTAGCTAGTGCTTTGGTGTCACATGTAAAAAATGTTAACATTTGTCTAGTATTGTAGGCTGGTGTGGTGCAGTAGAATAAGCACTGTACTGCTAACCATAAGGTCAGTGGTTCAAACCCACCAACCACTCCTCAGATAACCTTATACAGGGTTGCTATGAACCCTCACCACTGGACTAATAAATAACATCTTGGTTGGAGGATAGATTGACGTTGGATTTGCTATTAACATTCACAGAAGCAGCAGAAATCAAATGACATTTTTGCATTAGGCAAATGTGCCACACAAGACCTCTTTAAAGTGTTCAAGGGCAAAAATGTCAGTGTGAGGACTAAGGTGCACCTGACCCAAGCCATGGTATTTTCAGTAGCCTCATTCATATGCGTGTGAAAGTTGGAAGATCGAAGAAGAATGGTGTTGGAGAAGAATATTAAAAGTACCATGGATTCACATTAGGATTACAGGTTACTTACACCAAACACTATTGAGTAAAGATTAACCTTGTTGCTGTTAAGTGCCGTCGAGTCAATTCTGACCTATAGTGACCCTGTACAGGGTTTCTGAGGCTATAAATCTTTACAGGAACAGAACACCTCACCTTTCTCCCGTGGAGTGGCTGGTAGTTTCGAATGCTGGTCTTAAGGTTTGCAGCCCGATTCATAACCCCTACGCTGCCAGAGCTCCTTAGCCCCTAAAATTAGATTTGCAAACCCAGCACCTTTTTATTCAGATGTTAAGTTAATTTTTAAAAAAGAAATAAATTTATTTTTGCCTTATTGCAAAATAATAAAAATAATAATAATAAAAGTACCATGGACTGCCAGAAGAATAAACAGAGCTCCTTAGAAGCCAGCATTGCGAGACTTCGCCTCTCATGTATTGTACATATTGTCAGGAGGGAGTGGTTACTGGAGAAGGACAATCATGATAGGTAATGTACAGGGTCAACAAAAAAAGAGAAAGCACCCCAATGAGATGGATTGACACAGTGGCAGTGGCAATGGGCTCGGGACCAGGCAGTGATTCATTCTGTTGTACATAAGGTTGCTATGAGTTGGAACTGACTCAATCGCACCAAACAAAAGTAACATGAGTCGGAACCAACTCGACAACATGTAACAAAACTCAATGGAGGCAGGAGGCTGCTTATGGTGCAGGGAATTTTCTGAAGTCTGTGCAGATCAGGAATGACATGTAGCCATACGGGTAGGGGAATTAATGTTTTTGAGATCTTCACTACTTGTAGGAGAATGACTAAGTGTTTAAAAATCTCCTGTGTTATGTTGTCCTTGCTTTTGCCATGTAGCGTGGAAATCGGTGAGAGTGTGCGTGGAGAAGATGTCTACATCGTTCAGAGTGGCTGTGGAGAAATCAACGACAATCTCATGGAGCTGTTGATCATGATTAATGCCTGCAAAATTGCTTCAGCCAGTCGGGTCACTGCAGTCATCCCCTGTTTCCCCTATGCCCGGCAGGATAAGAAGGATAAGGTAGGGACCAAATCTGTTTCTCTGGCTTTCTCTCTCCAGCTTTAAAAAAAGAAGAAGAGAAACAGGAGCATTTGCCCCAAATCACAGAACATTTCTTAGTCATTAGATCATATATTTGTTGTTGTTGTGAAGTGCCGTCGAATTTGTTCCAACCCATAGCGACCCTGTATAGGGTTTCCCAGGAGCAGCTGGTGAGCTTGAACTGCTGACCTTGCAGTTCACAAAAAATCACAGTCCATTAGATATTGCCCTAGCCACAAAACAATAGACATGTAGTTGATTTGTGTAAAGCAATGAGTTTGTAATCTGTATCATATGTTTATTGACTTTACACACATGCAATGACTTCAGAAAGTTCATGGGAAAGTAGAATTAAGAAATAATGGAATTTTCCCAAGAACATTTTGTACTCCCATCATGTCTATACAAGGAGCTCTGGTCGCGTAGTGGTTACGCATCGGGCTGTGAACCTCAGGGTCAACAGTTCAAAACTACCAGCTGTTCCATGGGAGAAAGATGAGGTTTTCTGCTCCCATAAAGATTTATAGCCTCAGAAACCCTGTACAGGGTCGTTATGAGTCAGAACCGACTCTGTACATAACAACAACAACATGTCTATACGCATAAATATGCATGTATATATCCATATACATCAGCACATTATTTATGTGGTATGTTAGAGGATAAGGTATACACATTGAATTTTATATCTAGTGCAATAAATATCCCAGTTTTACATACAGTGCCTGGGAGAAAGCTGGATACTTTACTCCCAATAGACTGAGCAAAATGGGAAGGGCATGGACTTTGCTGTTCTTTTATGAAGCAAGTGTGTTTTTCTTTGATGTTAGGTGTTGGGGTTGCTGGACGGTTGGACCTCCAGGTGAGTAACGTGGTAGTCAAATTTAGAAAAGAAACTTAAAAGATTTTAAGTTCCAAAACCCATCTCATTTAAATAAATGAGCATTGGAAACCCTTGACTAGGTGGCAAGTAGCAATGTATGTACATTAAGTTAAGAAGGTGAAAGCTAAGGTGTTTGCTTTTCTGAAATATGTATCCTGAATTGGAAAAGAAATGTTCTGCTTACTCCTTTTGCTAGCTTACAATGTACTCAAAGCCAGTGGTCATGTCTTCTGTCAATCTTCTGGTTGCACAGTATAGTTAAACGTTGTAGATACAAAATACAGAAATGCTTCTAGAACGAATGAAATATTACTCAAACTGGCTTTTTGACTTCCCCCCCCTTTTTTTTTCCCCTCTCTTCACCCCATTTAGAGCCGGGCTCCAATCTCAGCCAAGCTTGTTGCAAATATGCTGTCTGTAGCAGGTGCAGATCATATCATCACCATGGATCTACATGCCTCTCAAATTCAGGTATCACTGGAAGCTCTGTATTGGGGAACATGGGAGAACTGATCAGTTTGAAAACTGCAGAGAAACTGTCCAAGTGCAGCCCAAATAGAATAGGCATCACCTGCATTTAAAGACTATTCACTTTAAGCATAGTTTATAATCTTAGTTATGTGGAGCTGGTTAGTTAGGAAGCCATGAGCTCAGACCTAGGTTTGAATACTAGCTCTGACACTCCATAGCTTTGTAGCCTTGGATAGGTTATTTCACTTCACTGAACATACACTGTTTCATTATTTTAAGTGTTAGATGAGATGATATTTATCCTGAGCTGGAGTACATTGGAATTTAATCCTTGTATAGTTGACCTTTGAACAACATGGGGGCCAGGGATGTTAGCCTCCAGTGCAGTCAAATCCTCATGTAACTTTAGACTCCCCCAAAATGTACTAACTACCAAAACAAAAAAACATACCTACTAACAACCTACAGTTGACCGATAACTAGACATTTCATTTTCAGTACAAGATAAAAAGGTGTCTTACAAAAAATGTGATGTGTTCATGTCTGCTGGAGTAGCTGGAGCGACAGCTTCATGAATTTCCTTTTCTTTTTCTCAATGATCCTTACACTGGATTCATTTTTCTTGAAATGGTGGGCCACTGCAGCAGCAGACCTCCATCTATGGAACATAGCCAACAATTGAGCTTCTTCACGTAATGTCGTGGCTTTCCTCTGCTTCTTGGGAGCACTTCCAGTATCAGTAGTGGCGCTTTGTATGGGTCCCATGGTGGTATTCAATGCGTATGGTATTTCACTAAGCATAATGGAATGGGTAACTTCATATGGGTTATTTTTTTAAATCTGCTTTTAAGTGGACATCTGCAGTTCATACCCATGTTGTTCAAAGGTTAACTGTATAATGTCTAGCGTATAGCAAAACCCACTACCGTTGAGTCCTTTCTGACTCATATCGACACTATACAGGGTTTCCAAGATTGTAAATCTTTACGGGACCAGGTACTCTCAACTTTCTGTCACAAAGCATATAACATCCTTGAGCATTCAGGATCTTCATTTAGAGCCACAACTATTGGATCGTCTTTTCTAGTGGAGTAGAAAGTATAGTTGATACTTTGAAAAAAGAGAGAATTAAAAATTATCATTTGAGTCTGAAGGAAGTCCTCCTGTGAGGAGACACATAGAACAGGTGATTATCATGCTCATTTTCTTAAAGAAAAACCCATTGGTTATGAAACAGAGCTAATTTGTAGCAACGGAAAGTATAGCACAGGTTTGTGACCATTTATTATACTAAGGAGTCCTGGTGTGGTGCTGTGGGTTAATGCGCTGGGCTGCAAAGTCAGTTTGAACCGCAAGGTGAGTGGTTCAAGCTCACCATCCGCTCCTCAGAAACCCTATACAGGGTTGCTAGGAATTGGAACCGACTTGATGGCACTTAACAACAACAAGAGTAGTATTTAGATAGTGTAGCATCTCTAAGTGATTTACCAGTTAGCTTTTACTCTTAATGAACCAGCCCAATATTTAATGGCATAAAGCAATTAACTCATGAGTCTGCCAGTTGGCTAGGCAATTCTTCTGATTTTGGCTGAACTTGGCTATTATTCTTAGCAAGGACTTGACTGAGGGCTGACTTTGCTCATGTTGGCTGGGCTCTCACATAAGCCAGATAGACCTGTATTATAGTTTGCCACGCTGGGCATGTTTCCAATGACTTAGAATGTTGCAGTAAGGTATTCTTTGGGCGAATTTGTGTCATTTGCAAATGGAAGAGTCATTTGTGTCATTTGTAAATGGAAGAGAAAAAAAAGGAAGCTAAACGAATCCAGTTTCTTTCTCCAGGGCTTTTTTGATATCCCAGTGGACAATTTGTATGCCGAGCCAGCTGTCCTGAAGTGGATAAAGGAGAATATCTCTGAGTGGAGGAACTGCACAATTGTCTCCCCCGATGCAGGTGGAGCTAAGAGGTATGAAATGATTTCTAAGTGATAGTTTTTTAAGCACTTCAGAATGGATGTACACAGCCGGTTCAAAAATTATCCGCACTTTGGCTGTAGAATTTATTTCAGTCACCTTTGAGAAAAGACAAATACATCATTTTTTGATATAATAATCCTTGCTTTTCAATACACCTTGTCCATCTATCAAAATGCTTTCATATTCCCTTATTTAAAAACTTTTTAGTTTGAGCTGTGAGCCATGAATGCATTGCTGTCTTCACTTTTTCATCAGAGATGAATCTTTATCCTCAAAGGGCTGCTTTCAGGGGACCAAACAGGTAGGTGGAAAGTCCAAGGGAGCAAGACCAGGACAATAGGGGAGGATGCTTTAACACCTTAAAAGGAAGATTTTGCAGAGTGCCAACAGTGTGGGCAGAGGTGTGGGGTTGTGCATTGTCATGCAAAATCATAATGCCCTTGGATAGCAGTCCTCTGTGTTTAATCTAAAGTTTAGGCTTCAGCTCTTCAGTGAGCATCTCACTGTAATGAGCACTGTTGTTTGTTGAAACTTTTTCCTGATAGTGTTCCAATACTGGCCCTTGAGGATCCCAGAAAACTGTAAGCATCCATCTTTCAACTGATGGTTGACTTTTGAACTTTTCTTGGTGGACGATTGAGGATGTTTCCATTCCACATTCTGCCGTTTACTCTCAGGCTTATAGCAGGAAGAAATAATGCATGGCAGTTTTATTTCTAGCCAAGACCTTAAAATTTTATCAAGCTGATGGACAAGGGTTGAGTTACCATGCTTTATAGTAAAACTCACATGGTACAGGCTAAAAGCTCTTGATTTCATTAGTGAATTATTCATTAGCAATGCATTCACCAAGGAGCTCTGGTAGCATAGTGGTTAAGAATCGGGTTGCTAACCTCAGGGTCAGCAGTTCGAAACTACCAGCTATTCCTGCGAGAGAAAGATGAGGCTTTCTGCTCTCATAAAGATTTACAGCCTCGGAAACCCTGTGGCATTTACCAGTATGATACATGCTCTTCTTGTTGTGGAAATAAGAATAAAGAGTAACAAAACACAGATGATGAAGAAAAGCGTATTCAGAACTTTCTAAATGTTCAAATAAATGTTCAGTGGCTGTTTCTCTGCTACTCCTTTATTTCAGTAACTTTGACAGAACTGATAAGCAGCCAGATGTATAGCTGGGGGAGTGTCATGTAATCACTAGTTACCTAAAAACCACTCCAACCTGTCCCCCAATTGGTAGTTGTCACACATGTTTTAGCTCTGGGGGCATTATTTGTAACATCTTGCCACAGGACTTAGAAAATAGTCACATTTCAAATAATCAGATTTTTCCCTCCAGAGTTTGGGTACAGAAAAGCTGTCTTCAGTAAATGAATTTTCTACTTGATTTTTATTTTTCATTAAAATAGTGATGGAGGATTTTCAGTGAGGGTTGTCACTTCAGTCTTGGCAAGATTTTTAGTAGGTAGAGATCCCAGTGTGGTTATGATGTGCTCAGTAGCTCTTCACTTAAGGCTAGAGGGAGGTTGTGTTCTAGGTCTTTATGTTTGGTTGGTCACTGAGATTGGAAGGTTCAGGATGCTGAAATTAATTGATATATATGCTTTGGATAGTAATATTCCAACGAACTGTTTACCATTTGATGTGATGTGCTCAGATGTAGTAAATCACCAAGCAGTGTAATGGAGAGCTTCAAAGTACAAACGATGCCTAGTATATTATTCAAATGTTGTATATTCATATATGGTCACCTCACTCCAGCAGAAACTCAGATATTCACAAGGAAGGCAGAACATGTCATTGCAGTTAGATCATAGTTACCTTACAAAACAAAACCATTCCTGATCATAGAACTCTCAGCAAAATATGAATAGAAAGGTTCTCAGTAGAATAAAAGTCACTCATACAAAACAAGAGTCCTGGTGTGGTGCTGCAGGATAAACACTCAACCATAAGATCAGTTTGAACTGCAAGGTATGCGGTTCAAACTCATCAAGTGCTCCTCGGAAACTCTATACAGAGTCATTATGAGTCAGGACTGACTCAACAGCACTTAACAGCAACAACATACAAAACCAACAGCCAACATCACTCTCGGGAGAAAGAGTGACAACATCCCCTTGAGAATATGAATCAAAGGTGCCCTTTATTACCACTCTTATTCAACATTGTACTGGAAGTCCTACACAGAGCAAAAAGGCAAGAAAAGGAAATCAAAGGCATTCAGATTGGCAAGGAAGAAGTAAAACTATCCCCATTCACAGATGATATTATCCTATCCATAGCCAGTAACAATGATTCAACAAGAAAACTACTGGAACTCATGGAAGGATCCAGCAAAGTAGCAGAATACAAGATCAGCATACAAAAATCAGTTGGATTCCTCTATACTAACAATGAGAATTTCAAAAAGGAAACCAGGATAACAATACCAACTGCAATAGCCCCCAAAGATAAGATACTTAGGAATAAGTCTAATCAGGGACATAAAAGACCTATACAAAGCACTATTGCAAGAAACCAAAAGAGACCTACATAAATGGAAAAAAATTACCATGCTCATGGATAGAAAGACTTAGCATTGTGAAAATGTCACTACTACTCAAAGCAACCTATAGATAGAATGCAATCCCAATCCAGATTTCAATGGCATTCTTAAATGACATGGGAAAATGAATTACCATGGGATAACCTTCTATGGAAAGAAAAGATGCCCTGGATAAATAAAGCATTACTGATGAAAAACAAAGTAGGAGGCTTCACACTACCTGACCTCAGAACCTACTATATACTGATGGTAGTTAAAACAGCCTGGTACTGGTACAATTACAGACATATAGACCAATGGAACAGAATTGAGAACCCAGATGTAAATCCGTCCACCTATCCACAACTGATCTTCAACAAAGGGCCAAAGTCCATTGAATGAGGGTGAGACAGTCTAATAAATGGTGCTAGCAAAACTGGGTGTCTGTCTGAGAAAAATGAAACCATACCTCATAGCATACATAGAAATTAACTCAAAATGTATCAAAGACCCAAATATAAAACCAGATCATGGGAAAAAATATGGACAATGCTAAGAGTCATAATATATGGTGTAAATAGAATAGCGAACCTAGCTAAAAATGCAGAAGCAGCAGAAACTGAACTAGATAAATGGTGGTGGCTGGTGGCTGTGTGCTGTGGAGTTGCTTCCGACTCATAGTGACCCTGTACAGGGTTTCCGAGGCTGTAAATCTTTACGGAAGCAGAAAGCCTCATCTTTCTCCTGTGGGACAGCTGGTAGTTTCGAACTGCTGACCTTGCAGCTTGCAGCCCGATTCATAATCACTGTGCTACCAGAGCTCCTTGATCTAGATAAATTGTTGTTGTTAAGTGCTGTCGAGTCGATTCCAACCCATAGGGACCCTGTACAGGGTTTCCGAGGTTGTAAATCTTTACGGGAACAGATTGCCTCATCTTTCTCCCGCAGAGCCGCTGGTAGTTTTGAACTGCCAACCTTGAGGTTCGCAGCCTGATTCATAACCACTACGCTACCAGAGCTCCTTTATAGGACCTCCTAAAAATGAAACACACTCATGAAAAGAATTCTCCAGAAGAGTGAAAAGAGAACCTATAGACTGGGAAAAAATTTTTGGTTACAATGTATACAACAAAGGTCTAAGTTCTAAAATTTATAGAAAACTTCAACTCTTTAAAACAAAAAGACAAACAAATAATCCAATTAAGATATGGGCAAAAGATTTGAATTGACACTTCAAAGAAGGCATTCAGGTAGCTAACAAATACCTGAAGAAATACTCCTGATCATTAGCCATTGTTGTTGTTCAGTTCTGTTGAGTTGTGTAGGGTTTTCGAGGAGCAGCTGGTGAGCTTGAACTGCCAACCTTGCAGTTCAAATGGCTTTCCACTCTGGTGCATTAACCTGCAGCTCCACACCAGGACTCATTAGCCATTGTAGTTGTTAAGTGCTGTCAAGTTGGTTCCGACTCATAGGGACCTTTTATAGAGTTTCCGAGGAGCAGCTGGTGAGCTTGAACTGCCGACCCCGAAGTTCAAATGACTTTGCAGTCTGATGCATTAACTCACAGCACCACTACATTAGTGAGATGCAGATGAACACGTCAGTGAGATCCCATCTCATTTCAATAATAATGGCATTAATCTTAAAAAGAGGATAGAAAAATAACATGTTGGAGAGGTTGTTGGGAGAGTGGAACTCTTATATTCTGGTGGTGGGAATGCAAAATGGTGTAACCACTATGGAAAACATAAAAAGCTAGACACAGAAATATCATATGATCTAGCAAATTTCACTCATAGGTATTCTCACTATTCTTGCTTCTAAGGAGCATTCTGGCTGTACTTCTTCCAAAATAGATTTGTTTGTAATTCTGGCAGTCCAAGGTATTTAGGTATTTTCAACATTCTTTGCCAACACCATAATTCATATGCGATATCTTTGCTCTTAAATACTTTAAAGAAGTCTTGTGCAGCAGATTTGCCTAATGCAAATTGTTTGATTACTTGACTGCTCCTTCCCTGAGTGCTGATTGTGGATCCAAGCAAATTGAAGTCTTTGAAAACTTCAGTCTTTTCTTCATTTATCATGATGTTATTTATTGGTCAAATTGTGAGAGTTTTTGTTTTCTTTATATTGAGGTGCAATCCATTTTCTGCCACTGACCTTGTTTTGATTAATGATATTGAGCTTTTGCCCCATCAGCAAATGAAGGTCTCAAAAGCTTTGTTCCATCCATGTCATAGTTAACTCTACTTTGACAAAGGCAGCTCTTGCCCAGCTGTATTTTCAGTGCATTCCAATCTGAGGGGCTCATCTTCCAGCACTATATCTGACAGTGTTCAGCTGCTATCCATAAGATTCAGTGGCTAACCATTCATTAACAACCTGTGATATGCAGATGATACAACTTTGCTTGCTGAAAGCGAAGAGGACTTAAAAGACTTAACTGATGAAAATCCGACAACCTTCAGTATAGATTGCACCTCATGTAAAGAAAACAAATCCGTCCAACTGGATAATGATTGTTTTTGTTAAGTGCTGTTGAGTCGGTTACAGCCCATAGCAACCCTCTGTAGGGTTTCCTAGGAGTGGCTGGTGAGCTTGAACCACCAACCTTGAGGTTCAAGATTGACTTTGTAGTCTAGCGCGCGTTAACCCATAGCGCCACAGCAGGATTTTATCATGTGAAGTGGAGAAAAAGTTGAAGTTGTCAAAGCCTTCATTTTGTTTAGATCCACAATCAACACTCATGGGAGCAGCAGTCAAGAAATCAAATGACATATCGCATTAGAGTAATCTGCTGCACGAGGACTAAGATGCGCCTGACCCAAGCCATGATATTTTCAAGCACCACGTATGCATGAGAAAGTTGGACAATGAATAAGGAAGATCATGGAAGACTTGATGTATTTGAATTATGGTGTTGGAGAAGAATATGGAAAAGATCATGGACTGCCAGGAGAACATAACATCTGTGTTGGGGGATGTACAGCCAGAATGTTCGGACATGTTAACAGGAGGGTCCAGTCCCTGGAGAAGGACATCATAACATGCTTGGTAAAGTGGAGGAACAGCAAAAACGAGGAAGACTCCCCTCCTCCCCCACAACGAGATGGATTGACAGCGGCAACACCAATGGTGCAGATGTAACAGCAATCATGAGAATGGTGCATGATTGGGCAGTGTTTTGTTGTGGTTTCCATAGGGTTCCTATGAGTCAGAACTGACTCGACGGTACCTATCAACAGCGATTCGGAAGTGGCTCAACCTCTCCTTCTTCCTAGTTTGTCTTAAGACTGAAAGCTATGCTGAAACATATCTACTATGAGTGATCCTACTGGTCTTTAAAATACCAGTGGCATAGCTTTTAGGATCACAGCAACATACAGGCCACCATAGTAGATAAACTGACAGATGAATGAATGGTGGACAATGTAATTTATGAATGGATTTTTAGGTAGATAAGTATGCTGAAAAGGTGTGGGAAGGTGCTACATACATAATTGTAGATGCTGCATATGCAATGGAGTCCTGGTGCGGCACTGTAGAGTAAGCACTGGACCTCAAAGTCGGTTTGAACCACAAGCACGGCAGTTCAAACTTACCAGGCCTTGCTCAGAAACCTTATACGGGGTTGCTATGAGTCAGAACCAACTTAATGGTACTAAACAACAACATATTAATATAGACAATAGAGCACATGAGGCATAGTCAGAGAAAACTTCTCAGATATAACCAAGCACCTTTTTGGGTGAAATCTCTAGGCTTGAAGGCCAGGGATCATAGATTGGGGGACATCTGCATCAATTGGCACAACATTCATAAAGTAAATGTTCTGCATCTTATTTTGGCGAGTAGCATCTGGGGTCTTAAAAGGTTGTGAGTGCACATCTAAGGTAACAGCTATTGGTCTCTTCCTATTCAAAACAAAGGAGAGTGAAGAAAACCAAAGACTTAAGGCAACAGTTTATACAGTGGACCATACAAACCACAGCCTCCATGATCCCAAGACCAGAAGAAGCAGACGGTGCCTAGTTAACCATTACCGACTGCTCTGACCCGGATCACAACAGAGGGTTCTGGACAGACTGAGAGGAAATTGTAGAACCAAGAGTCAAGTCAATAAAATGACCAGATCTACTGGCCTGATAGAAACTGGAGGTACCCCGAAGACATCATTCCAGCCTGGAACTGAAGCCATTTTCAGAGACTGCCTTTCAATCAAACAATAGGCCCATAACATAAACAATAATATCCCAGAAGAATGTATTCCTCAGGACAACCAATTATATGAGATTAAAAAGACAACGGTTTTCTAAAAGAAAATATGAGAAGGAAGGAAGGGGCAACAAATCTAAAGAAAGCCTAGAGCCCAGGGTTGACATGAGGAGAGTTCTGACATTGTGGGGAATACAACCAATGTCATGAAACACTTGATATACACACTGTTGAATGGGAAAGGAATTTAATCTGTAAACTTTCATCTGAAGTACACTGAAAACAAACAAACAAAACACAACCCAAAGCTCATGTCTCTACACGTATGAACGGGTAACATGATGGCCCATTGGAGCCACCACAGTGTCAGTCACATTGAGCACATACATGTTTAGGTTAGGTATATGATCGTTGTCACCAGACAGCTTTGTCTTCTAACCCATTTTTGCAGTCTAGCTAGCGTTAGCTTGTGTCATCTTGTAATAAGAAAAAAATATAAGAATTCTGTGTTGGCATGGAGATCGTTTGAACTATGCAGTGAGTTGAGCGGTCTGCCCAGTTAACTGTATGACTTTCTTCCTAGCAGAACATTTCCAGCTTGGTGTCTGGGTACCACACTGACACTTGGTGGCTGTGGTGCTGCCATCGCTGAGGGGCGTGTGGATATGGATGTGGGCACTGGAATAAATAGGCTGGGTACTGCTACTCTCCTGCCATGCGCAGATTGACTTCTATTGTGTAAATTTGTATTCTGTATTCTTGGCTTTAGCTAATGAAGTCCTCTCTCTCTGCCCTCCAATGCCAGTTCATGAAATAAAGGTGTCTTAGCATTACACTGGAGTCCTGGTGTGGTGCTATGGGTTAATGCACTGGACTGCAAAATCCGTTTGAACCGTGAGGTCGGTGATTCAAGCTCACCAGCCACTCCTCAGAAACCCTATTATACAGGGTCACTATGGGTCAGAACTGACTCAACAGCACTTAACAGCAATTGCATTACACCACTTCCTAGGACTGATGAGGGTATATTTCTATTCCAAATTCTAACCCAGAGTGAGTTATTTATCTAAGTTTGAGTAATGGTATTTAGGTGTGGCACTGAAGGATAAGCAGTGGATTGCTAATAGCAAGGTCACTGGTTGAAACCCAATAGCTGCTCCTTGGAAGCCCTGTAAGTTGGAACTGACTTGACGGCACTTAGCAACAATCAGGATATAAAAGGAGTCCTGGTGGCACATAGGATAAGCACTGGTCTGCTAACTGCAAGATCAGCAGTTCAAACCCATCAGCCACTCTAAGGGATACCCTATGGTAGTGATGGTGTATGGTGGAGTCGATTCTGACTCATAGCGACTCTGTACAGGGTTTCCGAGGCTGTAAATCTTTATGGGAGCAGAAAGCCGCATCTTTCTCCTGCAGAACAGCTGGTAGTTTTGAACTGCTGACCTTGAGGATAGCAGCCCTACTCGTAACCAGAAGTCCTTTGAAAAGCCCTATACAGGAGTCCTGGTGTGGGGCTGTGGGTTATTGCGCCAGACTGCAAGCCGTTTGAATTGCAAGGCTGGCAGTTCAAGCTCACCAGCTGCTCCTCGGAAGCCCTCTACAGGTTGCTATGGGTCAGAATGGACTTGACGGCACTTAACAACAACATACAGGGTCTCTATGAGTCGGAATTGCCTCAGTGGCAGTGGGCTTGGTTTGTTGGATCAGGATAAAAAGGAGCCCTGTTGGTGCAGTGGTTAAGTGCTCAGCTGCTAGCAGAAAGGTCAGTGGTTTGAAACCCACTGGTGATCTGCTCCCTTAAAGATAAAAGCCTAGGAAACCTTGTGAGACAGTTCTGCTTTGAATGATAGGGTCACAATGAGTTGGAATTGATTTGACAGCACACAATAACATCAGGATAGGATGGCAATCTTCTATAAATCCAGGTGTCTGATGTCTGCCTTTGAGAAGTCAGTCAGTGGTAGTTACTTTCTCCCAGTCTTTGGTTTCCAGGCGTGTTCTCCCCCAGAAAACAAGTCCGTTCTGTAGTCTATTTCTCTTGTCGTAGAAGGCACCCACACAGGTTTTGACTCTGTGCATCCCCTGTTTGGCAGAGTGACCTCCATTGCAGACCGGTTGAATGTGGACTTTGCCTTGATTCATAAAGAACGGAAGAAAGCTAATGAAGTGGACCGCATGGTGCTCGTGGGAGATGTGAAGGATCGAGTGGCCATCCTTGTGGACGACATGGCTGACACGTGTGGCACAATCTGTCATGCAGCTGACAAGTGAGTGTGGAGTTGTGGGGCCACTGGGGCAAGGAAATAGTGAACTGGACTATGACAGAAGGGCTAATAAGTGAGCTGATGGAAGGGATGATAAGTAGCTCAGGGGACTTCGCATTGGTCTAGCCTTTCAGTGCAATGTGTGCAAATTACTGAGCACTCTACTTTTTTTTTTTTGTCTCTTTTCATTTGAGTTTATTTAAACACAGTTCTCAAGGCATGAATGAAATTGGGCTTCCCTTATGGTAAGCAAAGGACCTGAAAAGAATTTTAAAGTCAACAGGCAAAGTCTTCAGCTTACCTATGACACAAGTATAATAGTGTTCCCTTCTTGTTTCCTGTACTTTGAAGCACCCAGTACTTTTTCACATAGCTAAAAGCTAGAATAAGAGTACATTTGTGGTGGAATGTACTTGCCAATGTAACTAGTTGAAATACTATTATCCCCTTGTAACAACTTGAAGAAATAGCCTTTTTTACATTGTGTAATTCTTCTCTTATTCTCCGCTATATAATACAGATTACACAAAGGCGGACAAATCCACAATTAGATAAGCATTCAGCATTTGCTGTATTGAAATATCTTTAGTTCTAAGACTAGAAGTACAGAGTTACAGAGCATTAATTTAACACTTAGTTGTGTATGTAAATATGGTACTTTTAATGAACTTGAAGAAAATAAGTATTTTTTGTTTTAAATTTACTACTGACAACTGAATTGGAACAGTTCTGCTAAGCATTGATATGTTAGAAAGAAAAGTAAAAATCAAACTGTTTATTGTTAACTTTTTTTGCCATTTGGTAGCATTTTACACACAGGCTTTGATCTTCAGAATACCCTAGATTCAGTAGAAAAACCTTTAAATGAAGTTTTGTACAATAAAAACTTCTCGGCAGTCAAAATTTAGACTGTAAAAAAATACATGCAAAACATACTTTTCGGAAAACACTTAACTTTGAACAAAGCACCAAACTACACAAATGCAGAATGAAAACAGCATTTTAACGCCACCAAAGTAGTCATCATCAAAGGTGTAAAAGTCACCTCACTTCACTAGGCACTGTTCACTTTTTTAAACATGAGACAATAAAAATATTGTCCACAATCAATATCCCAACTCTAGGGCATGTTTCAGAAAGTCTTCAAACTTCATGCTTTAATAGCGACGAGGAGAGTAGGATCGAGATCTGGAACGGTATCTGTATCCTCCACGACTATAGTAAGGAGAAGGTAACCGCCTTCTGTAAATCTGATCTCTATCTTGAGCAGCTCTCCATCCTCCTCCTCCTCCACCTCCTCCTCTGTATGATCTGCTGTAGTAATCCCGATCATCATAGCCACGATCATATCCTCTGTCATAGTAATCACGACGGCGTGAGCTGCCATAGGTAGGTCTTCCCATATAAATTCCAGGTGTTGGAGTATGTGGTCTTTTTGTTATGGAGAAATCGACTCTGATCCTCCGACCATCAAGCTCCATTCCATTGGCATGCTCTTTAGCTTCCTTAGCATCATCTACATTTTCAAAATATACAAAGGCAAATCCTCTTGAACGTCTAGACTGCTGGTCATATACAATGACACATCAGCAATGGGGCCATACTTGGAGAACACTTCTCTTAAATCTCGCTCTGTGGTGTATAAGCTCAACCCAAACACTCCAAGACAACAGTTGGGATCACGATTTGCCCGATTCCCAACATGACGCCTGCGAGTAGACATCGGAGAATGACTGTGGGTATGCCGTCTGCGATAATCTCGACTATAAAACCTGCTACGGGATCGTCTATGGGAGCGTGACCGAAAACGTGATCTTGTGTAATGTCTTCGAGAACTTCTTCTGGATCTAGACCTAGATTCAGATCTGGACCTGGACTTTGATCTGGAACGCCTGGAATCTTCCTTGGAGCGAGACCTTGCAGGGGTATGCCTTGCAGATTTCCCAGATCCATGAGCACTTCCACTTCTGGAAGCAGAAAGGGATTCCCGCTCGCCGTAATTCTGCTCGCCGCTATCGCTCATGACTCCTGGCTGCAGTCGCCGCTCGATGCGCTTCGATCGAAACTGTCAACCTCTTGGGCCTTCTTTACTGAGGCTCCCTGGCAGCCTGGCTGAACGTACTGCTTTCAGAGCCGCTGAGGCACGAAACGCCCCACGACGCCTCCGCACAGGTTCTCTCTACTTTTTTTAGCGAGTTAAAGTTCTTAGGTTTGAGAAGACAAATATATCTTTGCATTTCTATTTTACTTAAACTGATGACCTTAGTCTTACCTTTTAACTCTCCATTGTAGCCATATCTTACTTCAAATTCTTTCTAATATCTTGACTGCACTATTATTGTAAGTTGCCTCCTCACTGTTCTTGGATTTCAGTCTTTCCTCCCTGTATATTTCACATTGCCTCCTCTATTAGTTTCCTAGGCCTGTCATAAACAACAGAACCACAGACGGGATGATGTTATGGATTGCATTGTGCCCCCATGTGTCCTCAAACATGCTGTCAGATGTAAGTCAGCTAAAACAAGGCCAGGGACTGACTGTGGGAACAGACCATCAAATTGTTGATATGAGAGTTCAGGCTGAAGCTGAAGAAAAGTAAAACAAGTCTATGAGAGCCAATATATGATCTTGAGTATATATCCCATCTGAACTTAGAGACCACTTCCAGAACAGATTTGACACATTGAACACTAATGACCAAAGATCAGATGAGTTGTGGAATGCCATCAGGAACGTGCATAAAGAAATTAAAAAGACAAGAAAGAAAAGACCAAAGTGGATATCAGAAAACACTCTGAAACTTGCTTGTAAACCTAGGGCACCTAAAGTAAATGGAAGAAATGGAAGTAAGAGAACTGAACAGAAAATTTCAAAGTCAAGTATTATAATGAAGTGTGCAATGACCTAGAGTAAGAAATCCAAAAAGGAACAACATACCCAATATATCTCAAATTGTAAGAGCTTAAGAAAAAAACATGAAGCCTCAAGTGGCAATACTGACGGATTCTATGTGGTGCTGTAGGATTAGCACTGGACTGTGAACCACAAAGTCGGCAGTTCAAACCCATCAGCTGTTCCTTGGAAACCCTATACAGGGTCTCTATGAGTTGAAAGCAACTCGATGGCACTTAACAGCAACAATAACATGGATAAAATATTGAATGATGCAAGAAATGTCAAAGAAGATGGAAGGAATATCTAAAATAATTGCTGAACAATCAACCATTTCAAGAGGTAGAAGAAACAAGTCTGAGCTTCACTGAAGGTATTAGTGAAAAACAAGGTTCCAGGAGTTGATACAATACCAACAGAAATATTTCAACAAATGTAACGTTGGAAGCACTCATTTGTCTGTTACAAGAAATTTGAAGGAGAACTACCTGGCCAATCAACTGGAAAAGATCCATATTTGTACCCATTCCAAACAAAGGTAACCCAACAGAATGCTGAGATTATCGAATAATATCATTAACATCACAGCCAAGTAAAATTTTGCTAAAGATAAAACTGTTGCAGCAGCTCATTGACAGCAAGTTGCCAGAAACTCGAAAGTAGGTAGCTTTAAAAAATGTCTCCTCACAGTTCTGGATGTCAGCAGCCCCATGGTATCTCTGAAGGCTGGAGGGAAAGGTGCTTCCTTGTCTTTTCCAGCTTCTGTTAGCCACAGACATTCCTTGGCTTGTGGTAGCATCCCTCTAGTCTCAACCTCCATCTCCATACGACTGTTTTTCCTTTGTATCTTTTTCTGTGACTTTTTACTTTTTTATACTGAGCCATGGCATTGCATGGGCTCAAGGCATTCGACTGCTTATTGAAAGGTCAGTAATTTAAACCTACTAACTGTTCTGTAGGAAGAAAGATACAGTAGTCTGCTTCCATAAAGATTTGTAGCCTTGGAAACCCTATGGAGCCTTAGGGTTTCTGAGACTGTAAATAGAGAAGCAGGCAACCCAGTCTTTCTTCACAGAGGGGCTTTACCTGTTTCACCACAGGGCTCCTTTGACTGGCACATTGTGGTGTTGTTAAGTGCTGTTGAGTTGGTTCTGACTCATAGTGACTCTGTGTAGCATTTCCGAGGAACTGCCGACCTTGTGGTTCCAAGTCCAGTGCTGATCCTACAGTACCACACCAGGAGTCCATAAAAAACATATTTGTGTGCCGAATGGCTCTGGTTTGGATCCTGGAGTATGCATTTATAAAACTCATTTTGTCCTCTTATTAGTTAATGTAATGCTAATTGCTGTAACTGGTTAATTCCCTGAAAGTCAGTGGCTTAACATTATATAGTTTCATTCTTACTCATTCCATATTTCCAACGCAAGTTGGACTCATTTTCTCTAAATAGTAGTTTAGCAACCCAGGGATCCAGATACTTTCAATCTTGTGGCTTTTATTTTCATTTTTATTTTTCATATATTTCATTTCTATTCTATTCTATTTATACCTATATAGAGAGAGAATAGAATAAAATAAAATAGTATTCTTTCTCTTCTATTCCATTCCATTTTCATTTTGGCTAACCAGAAAGAAAAAAGAGCATAGAGGATCAGCCATAGATGAGGTTTCTGAGCCTGGCCAGGAAGTAGTATACATTCTGTCCATATTTCAGTAGACTGAATTAGTCACATGGCTCCGCCTGACTATGCTAGGGAAATGAGAAATGTAGCCCAGCTATGTGCTCAGGAAGACGACTCGAGGGATTTGTTGAGCACAGCAGTCTCTTCCATAGTTCTTTTTCCGTGAAACTAAACCTATTCTTTCTCCTTCTCCTTAAGTCTGAATCTACAGTGACAAGTAAGATTAATCCAGTTCAACTCTGTGTTTTCTTCTAGACTTCTCTCAGCTGGAGCCACCAGAGTTTATGCTATCTTGACGCACGGAATTTTTTCTGGCCCAGCCATCTCTCGCATCAACAATGCATGCTTTGAAGCAGTAGTGGTCACCAATACCATACCTCAAGAGGATAAGATGAAGCATTGCTCCAAAATACAGGTAAGAATGCGATTCTAGTAAAATACGACTTCACAAACTTTTAAAGAACTGGTTGCATAAATGCTTAGTAGTAGATGTCTGCCATGAGTTATCCCAAAGCATGGGTTGGAAGTCACTCGTGCTAATTATTTTAAGTGCTTGTTAAAATGCTGACTCCTCTGTCTTGTCCCAAACATACAAAACCAAAGATCTAGGAGCCAGCATTTTGAAGTACAGTTTGAAGTACTTGAACCACACAGGTTTGAACTGTGCAGGCCCTGTTAGACATGGTTTGTTTGTTTCCCTGTTACTATTGCAGTGAACTCGAGCCATGTGAGTATCCACTTGTAACTCTAGTGAGTAACTGGAGTGACAAACTGCTCACGCGAAGATGATTTGCACCATTGGATGTTTTAAGCTGATAAGTCACAAGACTTGAGATCACCATACTGGCAAGAGGGAAAAAAAATCACGTTATAAGTGGGCCCACATAGTTTAAACCTGCATTCTTCTTGGTCAACTGTTATTCCCAGAGTAAATGTTAGACACTAAATAGACACTAAAGTTTGAGTACTGTTTCATGAAACATTATTTAATAATGTGTGCAGTTGATCCATTAGCTGTCTGAAATTACTATTTAGAATTGGAGGGTGGTTGTCATTCTAAAGTTTTGCTTTTCTGTCTAGGTATTCCTTTTTCTTTATTCATTCTTTGTATATTTTAATCCTCCACCTCCCCCGACTTTGCCTTTTGATTCTTCCCTAAGGAGTTATCTTTAAAATGTTAGGAAGAGTTGCTGAATGCAGCTCAGGAAGGGAGGCAGCACATGTTTTGTGAGGAAGGGCACTCATTGGGCCGCTCAGCAGTGTCTGCAAAGTTGCCAGCTATCTCTTGTGTAATGCTAAGCTGCCGCTTCTCTGCCTTTCAGGTGATTGACATTTCCATGATCCTTGCAGAAGCCATCAGGAGAACACACAACGGGGAATCGGTTTCCTACCTTTTCAGCCATGTCCCTTTGTAACAATCACTTCAGAGGCTTTGGAAAAAGAAACATCACCCCGCCCTTTGTTTTTCCCTTGGTATTTGACAAAAACTTCTGCAGAAGACCCAGCTTGCTCCAGTGTAGCTTTCCGCATCCCACACCCGGTATTTTACAGTTTATCCTAATTTGGGGAGAGACAGCTTAAAATTGCTGGCATCTCCAACCTGCATTGTCTCATTCTGGCTTCCTTGTTGATTTGGGGAGCCTTGCAGCTTTAACTCTAGCTCAGCTACTACAAGTGTTCCAGCTTGGAGGGTGTCATGTGGAGCTGTTTGAAGGTGACTGGGGAAGCTTAGATTGCTTTGCATGTGAATACTTCAGGGGTTTTGGGTGTTGTTCAGAACAACTAGCAACCAAGTCAACTCAGTACATATTCCCCTTGTGGTATGTCACACACCCATGTGTCACAAGTTTACTTATGTCTATGGCAAATTGCTGCAAGAGCCCTAGGCAACTCCCAACTTAGTTCTCCTGGTTGCTGTCCACCTCCGCCTCCCCCATCCCAATAAGGCTGGAGCCAGCAGCTTTCAACTTGAGCAGCCATTGGCGGGGAGGCGGGGTGTGGTGGGGGGTATGGGGCGGTGGGGTGGGGGGCGTCCACAGGTCATGAGGGAAGGCAGCACGGTATCTGCCAGGCTTCTTGGGAGAGAAAACTGGATCCTTCACCATCTGTTCAAAACTGTGTATCTTGAATTAGCCTTTGTGTCTTTCCCATTTCGATTTGACTTTGCCTTCCACCATCTTGACCTTTTCCTGGCCAAATAATCCTCTTGGGTGCAAATGATTATGTCCCATAGTCTTATAGAAAGCCAGCTTGCTCCCTGCTGTGTAATGTGTAGCACAGTACATGACTTTGCTGTAACTTAATCTTCCTTGGCTGCTGCCATCTTGATTTGAGATGATTTCGTGGCGCCATTTGATAATTTAAATCTTTTCATCATCTTTCCATGGATCCGATTAACCTCTCAAATGACATGAAATTTCTGTTAAAAATATTGATGTCACTGTCTCCTGTCAAGGAAACTAATAAAGTGTTTGTATGAATGTGACTGTGGGTCTGTATTGTATCTATACTGATTTCTTTGCTGAAGGTTTCGATTTGATGTCTTGCTGCCCAATAATTTGTTTCCAACCTATAAGCTGCATTTGAAAGAAGAAAGAAATTGGCAGCAGTTAAGTGTTCAAGAGTAAAGATGTCGCTTTGAGGACTAAATTGCCTCCTGGTGTGAAGTTGTAAGATAAGCATTGGACTGCTAACCTCAAGGTCGGTGGTTCACACCCACCAGCCACTTCTTGGAAACCCTATTCAAGGTCGCTGTGAGTTAGAACGGACTCGATGGCACTAAACAGCAAACAGTAAATGCTTGTGAAAGTTGGGCACGGAATCAGGAAGACAGTAGGAAGAATTGATGCATTTGAATTATGGTGTTGGGACTGCCAGAAAAGCAAGAGTGTGTTGGAAGAAATAGAGCCAGAATGCTCTTTAGAAGTGAGGATGGTGAGACTTTGCCTCTCGTTCTTTGGACATAGTATCAGGAGGGACCAGTCCCTGGAGAAGGGCATCATTGTTTGAAAAGTGGAGGGTCAGAGAAAAAGAGAAAGGGCCCTAAGGAGATGGATTGACACAGTGGCAGCAACAATGAGCTAAAACAACTATTGTGAGGATGGCACAAGATTGGGCAATGTTTAGTTCTGTTGTGTGTAGGGTCCCAATGAATCAAAACCTACTTGATGGCATTTAACAACAGCAGTTTCTAGAATTGACTCATATGGAACCAATTGTCAAATGTGAGAATTCCCCTTCATTTGTTAGTCATTGACATTTGTTAATTGGCATTTAATTCCAACCCTTCTAACCTCTAGTCCCTTGCCACTACCACCAAACAATAAAACACTGCCTTCAAGTCAATTCTGATTCAGAGGCCCCATAGGACCGTAGAACAGCCTCATAGAGTTTTCCAGACTGTAATCTCTACAGAAGCAGACTGCCATAGCTTTCTCCTACTAGAAAAGCAAGTAGGTTCAAACTGCCAACCTTTGGATTCGCAGCTAAGCACTTAACCGCTGTGCCACCAGAGCTCCTTAATCCTTGGAAAGGTCAATATGCAAAATTGAAGAGTTGTAGTGCATTCCAACAGTTTTTGTGTCTTTGTGCACCACCAAATAAAGGTTAAGCATTGGACTCCTAACTGAATAGTCCATTTGGGTGACCTTGCCGGTATTTGAGATATCAGTAGCATAATCTCCAGCATCATAGCAAGTACACAAGCCATCAAAGCAGGACAAACTGAGAGGTGGTGGCTCTCACCCTTAGAACCAGATAAAGGCCAAGCTTGTCAGTTCTCAAAGCTACAGCTAGAAAAGGCTTGTTTAATCTCAAACCGGGTCTTCTAGCCCAAGTCTCCTTACCAGACTTGGACTAGAAATGGTTCTTGCTGAAAAATGAACTTGTTGGTTAATAGCGTATAGCCCATAACAACCTAAGAGTATTGGAATCATAAAAAGCCAGAAATTCAAAGAAAGAAAAAAACAAAACCAGAAAACTATAGACCTGCCTCCATAGTAGTATCTCACACACATATACATATATATACATAAGGAGCTCTGGTAGCGTAGTGGTTACGAATCGGGCTGCGAACCGGAAGGTCAGCAGTTCGAAACTACCAGCTGCTCCGTGGGAGAAAGATGAGGCGATCTGCTCCCGTAAAGATGTACAGCCTCGGAAACCCTATTCAGGGTCGCTATGGGTCGAAACCGACCCGATGGCACTTAACAACAACAACAACAACATATATATACATATACATATATATATTCACACACATAGGAGTAGCTGGTGAGCTTGAGCCACCAACTTTGCAGTTCAAATAACTTTGCAGTCCATTAACCCACAGTGCCACATCAGGATTATACACACACAGACACACATATATGGAGAGAGAGATGGCGTGGTGCTGTAGGATCAGCACTAGACTGTGAGTCACAATATGTTCTTAAGTGTTGTCGAGTCGGTTCCTACTTACAGTGACTTCTGTATAGGGTTTTCGAGGATCAGCTGGTGGTTCAAACTGCCCTTGCAGTCTAGTGTTTATCCTACAGCGCCAGGAATAGGTTATATGGACTGGTGAGTTTGAACCACCGACCTTGTCATTCAAACCAACCTTGAGGTGGAGTGCTTATCCTATGATGCAACACTAGGACTCCATGTGGAAACTATACAGGATTGCTATGAGTCAGAACCGACTTGACAGCACTTAACAACAATATACATATATATATAAACAAAATATGCCATTTCAAGCAAATTTTAGTGTACAATTCAATGACATTACAGGTATGCATTGCTTAGCATCCATGATACATTCTGTGAAACAGGACATTATGTAATTTGGATGTTGGGCAAACACCATATTATAAACAGGAGGGAGGCACACAGGATGGTCACCAGTTGGACCCACAACATGTCCCACCACTGCTGTGCTGAGGGACTATGCAAAAACTTTGGACTCCACTGTTGCCAGTCCTGTGTGTTCTCAACCCAGTATCCAAGAGTTACATCCAGCCCTCACCCACCACCCACCAGTCTACTTCCCTTCCTTCCTCCCTGCCAGCTTTCTCTGCCCCCTTAGTGGGCTTTAAACTCTTCCAGCCCTGCTCATCCTTCCTGTTCTTCCTCACATGACTACCGCTCTATCAGAACCATGGGCCTGGGCTTCACTCACAGAGCTCAGGACTGAGTGGAGGCAGTGGTCACAGGGAAGAGCCCATTCAGCAGCTCCAGGGACATCTGCGCAGTCCCTGCCTGAGGTGAGGATGGTGGGCTAGGCAGCCACAGGTGAGCACAGTCCCAGAGCAGATGTGGGACCTGGAGAGCTAGTAAGAGACAGATTGGATAACCTCCTAACTAGCAAAGTATATCTGCTATGCACTGTTCTTTGCTCAGTAGGCATGTTTAAACTCTATTATAAGCTCATGGGACCACAGGTTGTCAGATGTTGCCCAAACGGATATTACGTATTGCATTTACTCTCTTGTGCAATCATCACTTTTGGTTTCCAAAAGGTTTTCCTCACTCTTAACAGAATCTCAGTGAGTCCTAAGCAATGAGTCCCTCTTTCCCACTTCTCCCCACCCATGGTAACCACAAATAAACTTCAGTCTCTATGCATTTGCTTAGTATAAATATTGCATATGAGTGGGATACAGTATTTGTTCTTTTGTGTCTGACTTAATTCAGTCAGCATAATATTTTCAAGGTTCATCCATGCTTTAGCATATATCAGCACTTCATTTCTCTTTATAACTAAGTAATATCCATTGGATATAGGGACCACATGCTTTTCCAGTCATCTGTTGATGGATACTTGGGTTGTGCAGTGCAATACATTAGCTTTATATAGCCTTTTTAGCTGTGGTCCTGTACCTCCCCCAGAGTGATTGGCAGGGCCACAATCTTGTAAGGAATTAGCCAGTTTGTGGTCTTGGTGGGAGAGGCATGGTTTGTTAAAGACAAGTGTTTGCTTATATAAGAACCAACGTCGGAGCGGTTCAGGGGGTACTTTACTATCAAGAAGAGTCTGGAGCACAGCATGTCCCTTGGACCAAAGACCCAAGATTCCTGTACTGGAAACCTCTAAGATCTAGAAGAAAGAGCTGTAACACTGAAGATAGCAAGAAGCAGCAGAGGTGAGCTTGCTGGCCCACGTATCAAGAGCTGAGTGCTTTCAGGCTAACCAGCCAGTGGATTCAAAGAGCTAATGCTTGCAAGAGAGGTCTGAGTTGCACACCATTCCTCACACCTAGGCAGCAAGGGCCAGGTAGCTTGGTGGCAATAGAGCCCTGTAGGCCCAGGTAGCATGGCGGAAGCTGGTCTTAGAGGCTTTACAAGAGCCCAGGATCAGAGCGAGAGAACCAGAGGCCAGGGAGGTCCAGTTGCAAAGCAGAACTCTAGAGTTCTGTGCATGCAGTCGTCCAGTGCAGTGTGGTGATAAATGGAGGCAGCAGTGACGTCAACACAGCATCTGACTTGAACCAAGACATGCCTGCCCAGAGACTTAAGAATGGACATGGGTAATTTGCGGAAAAATAAGTGTGTGGCGCTGTGGAATAATACACTGGACCGCAAGGTTGATGGTTCAAACTTACCAGCCGCTCCTCGGAAACCCTATACAGGGTCGCTATAGGTCAGAACCAACTCGACGGCACTTAACAACAACATATGCCTTATGGTGGGCCAGAGGTTTGTGGCACAGCCTATCTTCACGTACAATGCTGACAGACTGACAAAGCACACAGGTTGTTAAGGATCTTTCCTTTCTTGTACACTTGCTGAATTAATGAGAAGAGTCAACGGGGATGGGTAG